GAACTTGCAGACGATCTAAATGCCGGAGGAAAACCATGAGCCGCGCTGTTTGGTCTGCGGTGGTGTTTGTACTCGATTTGCTTGGATTTATCTGAAATCGGATACGCCTTTTAAATGTAGCGGGGACTTCCATTCTTGATACCATTGAAACTGTACTCAGATGTTACTGATCTAAGAATACCTCTTGGGCAGTTTAACAATAAAATCGTTCTACCTTGAAACTACATAAATGATTCCAATTTTAAGGTCTGCATAAAAATAAGTTGGTAGAATTGTCTACTTCGCGTGCAATCTTGCAGCTCTACCTCCACCCAGTTCTTGCAAATGCTGAAACTAAGTGGCAACGCTCATACTCAAACCTAGCCTTTTTAAAGCCTGGGTTTCTGCCAGAAACTCAGAGGCAGTACTAGTGATGCTAATAGAAATGAATACTTGAGTCTTACTTAGCTGTATTATTCATGGCTGTTTCTCGTTCCTCGAATCTGCTCCAATCATTATTCGGCTTAGCTGCTTCACTTGCTGCTTTGGTCTGCGGAAGTGTGTCATTTGCGGAATGGTTTCCAAACTTTGTCACTCTAGCAAGAGCCTATGCAATAATGATATGATGCCCGGATATGCATTGCTTCATTCATCACTAGACGTTTCAACGCCGAGTTTTAACTTTCTGTGGATAAGTTTACGATCTGTCTGTTTGAAACACATGTTGGCTTTCGCAGATCTGTTTGAGATGCCAAATTGATAATTATCTGTTGTAATATGCAAGAAGAAGTGCACTCTGTGTTTAGAGGTCTAAATTTGTCACATATCATTTTGGTAAGTTACTGATCAAGTGATGCGTCTCAAATTCAACCACAAAAAGTAAATTACCTTCTTTTTCCACTCAACATTCATTTAAAAGAAGGTTCAATAAAAGCTAGAGTCAGCGCCTTTCTCAACTTTACTTTTATTAACAGTTCTCGCTGCAGCCATAGTGATTGCCGTATGCAAGGACTGTTCCTCACTCATTATTTATTGGTACTGATGCTCAGACAATTTTTGGAGATTTCCTCCTTGCTTCTTAGTTATTACTAACTTTTTGTATTCACGTTACGCAAGAGTTTCCAACCTGCTTGGTTACATTTCGTCATTCGACCAATGCATCTAGAGGCTATGGTGATGTATCCCAAATTCCTTCCTATTGCCACATTTTCCAATGCGACGAACGTGAGAATTCTTGATACACTTAAGGTTATCACATGTATCTTAGATTATCTTTCCTTGTTTGGCGTCAGGTTACGTGGATGTAATCGTCATTTGTCCACTGCAGTGGTGACTTTACGTGAGCCCTTCCTTGGTGGACGAACAGGTTGGGATCACACGATACCCGAGGTGAGATGTGTGAAAACAGCCACTATGAACTTCGCCAGATGATGCAGAGCAAAAATGGACGGTGTTGCTTCCCTATCTTCCTCCTTCTCTCTGTTATCTCTGCATTTT